GCTATGTCCATTTTTGTTGTTAAAATAAAAAAAATTAAGTTTTTGATACGTTCACTTTTGATCACAGTAAAATGCTATCCCAATAAATTCCTGAACAAATCTGCGAAAATAAAAGTTTCTTAAAAATGACTAAAATACTTTGCTATATCTTAGCTTCATACAAAAAAAATCTAAAAATGTTATCTAACTGCCCTAATTTTATGAAATACATTCATAATTTTACAAAACTTTGTCAACTTTTTTAGTTTTTGAGCAATAAATGACACAAATTCTAATAAAAAATTTACACAAAATTGTTCTCTAAATGCCCTAATTTTATGAGAAACATGCAAGAAAAGATAAAATAAATAATTCTACAAAGAATTTCATCAAACGTTCTACCTTTTTTTTACCAATTAACATGCATGTATTTCGTCTCCACAAAACAAACAAAAACTTCCCAAGAAGTTCCCAAGACATAACCTAAACCTGAAAAGTACACACATGTTGCCATGTAACATAACGATTAATGCATTATATTAATTCTTACACATTTAACATAAAATAAGCAGATAAGGCAGAACTAAATATGACCTGATCTCAAATACAACCATTTCAATATAAACAGGGTTCTGTAAAACCAACAACTCCTGTGGATTATATGGCCATTTGTAACGAATACATGGAAATAAACAGAAATAACCCAGCGCCACTAAACAGATTTTTCATCACAATCCAGCAGGTGGCAGGCCAACAGCCTTTCTCAGTACTAGGATTAGCACGTTTCTGAAACACATTAGTAGCAGAAAAGCAACCTAATGTTAAAACCTATGCTATAACAAGATTCAGTGGCCATGAATATATATTCTACATCGTGGTAGAACTCTATACAGCTGTGTCCAGAGTGAACTTTGACCTGAATCTCTCTTGAGATTTTCTGCAGTCGGTTAACCGATATGAATGTGCAGATTGCACTGCATAGTAAACACTGGTAACTATTACTGCAGTAATTTTATCCAATTCAGTTTGCAAAAAAAAACTGTACACTTTTGGATGTTTTCTGTTGTGTACTTGTGTAGTTGTAGTGAGACTCACGTGCACCGCGTCGTTTCCCATCAAAAGCCGTTTTTACGCCAATTCCAGAATGCTGGTCCAGAATCTCCACCCACCGGTCCCAGACAAAAAACATATTTTTTTTCGGCACACTGTACATGGGCGCCTTCACAGTATCAAAACAACTACGCGCTATACAATGTCAGACGCTAAAGTGTGTGTGTGATTGCTGCGAGTCAGCAGTTTGATTGACACACCACTCAGCCTGTCAGCTACCGCCTTATCCACGAAGTCACCTATCATTGCTATGGACTGCACCGATAGACTGTCCACAGACAATCAGGCACATGAAATGTCGAATGAAAAAGTGGTACAAAATCTTCAATTTGGTTAGATTTCAGTGCAGCACAACGTAAATCTGGACAGGTGGTCACTCTAATCACAGGTCAAGATGTGAAAGTTGTTTTCTTTCCATTTCTAGCACAAAATATTGACGTGAAAGCATGATTTGGGCTATTTCATTACATTTGGAGATATATTTAAATTTTTAATTTTTTTTTTTAAAGTCATACATTCTATAGTAAGGGCTTTTTGTGTCAGCTTATCAAAGGTCACAATATAATTTTTTTTTCTTTTCATTTATAGCACACTAGGGGTACACAGGGTATTTTACTGGATTTAGCTTCTAAAACATGTCTTTACAAGATTCAGCCCTGCATCTTAGTGCTGTAGCAGCAGTCACATTTGGTCAGTCATGTACCAAAGGGAGTCTGAATTCAAAAAGAAGAATGTTTCCTAAGTCCTTCAGGTCCTCCACCTCCTCCCAGATGTGGAGAGACTCCGGGATAATGGCCTAAAATACAAACGTTGACGCAGAGGAGAGAGAGAGGGAGACGAAGGAGGTGAGGAAGAGAAAACCTGTGAGTCATGCTGATGAGAGAATTACCCTCATTGCGTCTCTGTCCAAACCATAGAGGCAGGAAGTTGCACAGATAGACCTTCAGAAACACCCACGCCCACTAACTGTCCTCCTCCTATGTCCAAATGTGTTACCATGGTTACCGTGGAACCAGAAGGGAATGTTGTTTTTGCTCAGTGATGCAGCAGCCGAGCAGTGAGTAGACAAAAAAAAGAAAGAAAGAACAGAACCAAACGCTAACTGCACAAGGGCAAAGAAATCACATCAGCATCCTGTCGTCACAGACACAATAAAATCCAATCTGTGTTCGAATTTCAGTTAACGCCTCTGCAAATTAAGATGTTCTCCTTTAATGTAAAGCAGCGCTTTTAAACGTCTGGCCTGGGAGCCACTTGTGGCCCACAAGTTGTCACACTGGCCCATGAAATGAAGTGATGGACTCAGCAGTGGGCCTCAGCTCAGGGGTTTGACACCTCTGACATGTTTAAATCTTTTTTTTTCTTTAAAAAATAAAGTACGATTGAGGAGATATAGTTAGATTTAAATGTACTTTATTGATGATGACCAGGCTGCTTCCCTTTTACAATGAATCTGCAGTAGGTTCTAATTCAACCAGTTAACGAGACAGAGAGATATTAAATATTGCGCTAAAGAAGTAAAACATAACCAAGATAAATACAATGCAGAGAGAAAGAGAGAGAGAGAGAGAGAGAGAGAGAGAGAGAATAGAACAAATTTCAACAACAGCGTCTTCTTAACAACATGTTATTAGGTCAAACAATGACAGCACAGCCCAGTTTTATTTTACCGTAGGTCATTTCAGTCACAGCTATGACAATTAGCTTTTTTTTCTTCTTCAAATATAATTCTTTCAAATAGCTTCTTTTTTTTAAAATTTATATTTATATTTTCATGTTAAACAATTACATTCAGGATTATAACTAAAGAAATCACATGCAGCGAGGCAGAAAGAGAGAGAGAGAGAAAGAGAAAGAGAAAGAGAGAGAGAAGATTGACAGGTGACAACAAATTGATTTATGGAGGATGATGTTTAACTGAAGGATGCACCTTATTCTCATCAGTGTAAATAGTTGACCATGAATGTAATAGTTAGCAGTGTTGTCACTAAAATCAGCTAAATCGAGCGTGTATCACCAGGAGGATACTGTTGTGTACGGCACATAAAGCGTACACCTACTGTAGATTTGTTTTTATTCTATTGTAGTCAGGTTTGTTGTTGAGTCTGTATGTGTTTCAAGTCATAGTCAGGAAAAATGAAACTGTTTCAGTTTCTGATATTGGACTAAGTCGTGTTTCCTCTCTGTTAAATAACAACTCAAACCTATGGACAGTTTCTGCTCTCCTTCTGTGATTCCTTCAAAATTATGTCAATGATAGTGGGGTTTTTTAAGTTTTTTTTCTCTCTTTTGTTATTGATCCAGCAGCATTCATTAGACAGTACCAACTCTACAATCAGAAAAATAGATCTCCTGTTTAGTGCATTCGGCTTGTGTACAGTCACACAGTTCAGTTTTTGGGCGATTCACAGCGTTCTGCAGAGACCTTGAAATTGTCAAGGTCGGATATTTGGAATCTGGTATCTTAGAAACATCACAGAAACGACGAAACGACAACGAAGACTCGCAGCATCCGCCTCAACCTGACCCTTACGTTAAAAAGCATCTTCCTGTAGCTTTTGCATACTTTCATTATAGTGTCGCTAAATAGGTGGAAGTGACTTCACTCAATCGGCAGTTATTAACAGTTATTTTGAACATTCACTGGCATCTTACGACGGCGACGACCTCCAGATTGGAGAGTGTGCACTTGTGTTTACCCTGCAATTATTGTTTAATATACTGTACAGCATTGGCCAACCTTTACTTCACCTGAAAGGATGAAGTTTTTTATTTTTATATGCCTCTAAATCATCACAAATAATAATAATAAGCCATTCACAGTGCACTTTAACAAAATCATTCAGCATTTTTATAAATAATAAATCTGAACTTTTGGCCAGGCCGGGCAGAGGGGGTGGATGAAGATTAGGTTTGATGTGTGAACTAGTTGTTTATGGTGAGATAAACTGATTCCAGGGGACAAAAAAAAAATGTATTGTTATTATTTCTATTTTCTATCCATTTAGTAGTAGTTTGACATGCTTCATTAAATGTACTGCAAAGAAGATGAATGTCTGAATGAGTGAATGTTTTATAGATTTTTTTTTCTAATGCAAATGTGACTAAATTTAGATTATTATTACATTTTATACAGTTTTTTTATAGTGAAGTTTTAACCAATATTAATTTAAGTAATTTTAATGATCTTATGTCTAGGAAAATGCTGCGATGCTGTGGTTTTGAAAAGTTCACATTTTCATTTCTGGTTATGATTTCGTGCATTTTGAAAAAATAAAAAATAAAAATACAGTTAAACAAAACATTAAAAATCTGGAATAAGAATATTAAATCTGTCTAAGTGAATTTTACATTAGTTAAAAAAATAATGTAAATAAAGAAATAATTAATAAAGTGCATGTAACGTCCTAATATGTCTGGGATATTTAAGCTGAACCCTGGTCTGCCTGGCCAGTCCACTGTCAGGGTCAAATCATTAAATCACAAACAAATCTTAGGAATAAAAAATAAAAATAAAACCTGTGCTAGCTTTAATCACAGGTTTTAGTAAATTAAGCCAGAGTTAAACGTACTAAAAAAAGAAAGAAAGTGTCGACTAAGGTTAATCTACTGTAATCACACACCGTATACATTTCTACCCCTACACACAGAACACCATTTCTAACTAATTTGTACTTCATCCCAGCGTCCAGTGGGGTCACCAACGTCACACTCACACTTCTCCTACAGGCGTTAATGTGTTATTAAGAATATTATTGTATTTTACACATTTTTTAAGATGTTCTCGTGAACAGAGAGCTGTAGTTTTACTGTTGTTACAGTGATTTCCATCCATCATCTGCTGCTACACTAACTCCATGTGCTTCAACTGGACATAAACATTCAAATTCCCCCCTATCCCACCTCAGAAAAGTGCGCTCTTATTTGGTACAATACCATGCTTCGAGACATTCATTTTTGTTTGGAAGTTCATTAAAGTGGCATTTTTTTGGATTTATTTTTTGGACAATGTGCAAATGTCCTGGCTGTATAGTTTGTTTATGTACTGTATGAATATTTCATTTGTTGGTCACAGCTCTGTCCTTGTACTGCCCACAGCCCAGAACTGGTCACTTGGTCTACATTTAGCAAGAATTTATGGGCCCCACATTTGGTATCCAGAATGTGGGCTACATCTGAAACCAAAAATGATGCATTCCTGGCCCCGCGCAGAGCAAAAGAAGAGTCCAGAAATGGGTCGACTTTGGCAGTCCTGGGTACTAGATGTGGGTCGGTAAATGCCCATAATTCATTTCTGTAAATGGGCCAAATGAAATATTTTCACTCTGCGGGTGTTTTGTTGTTGTTTTTTTCCAAAGCCACAATCTAAAGGCACATGAAAACTAACCTCCTGTCATTTTTATCCTCCTGAAAATAAACCCTGCGCTGGGTAGAAAACTACACACTGATGTATGAGCAGACAAAGGTCTCTTTGCTACATTTGTCACCTGTTTGTTTGTTTCTTTTCTTTATGGCGGAGATGATAAAATATGGCCAGACAGGAGGAAAAAATGAAAAAAAAATGATATTCAACATCATCAAATCATCATCAAATAAATAACATTCATCTTAGAACTAGATTTACATACAACCAGTAGAGGTCGTGGTAGAGCAGAATGATTACATCCATCGGAGATATTTCATATCAATAGTCCCGCTGCCTCAGCTGTGACAGCCCGACAGTGTAGACACGTTTCTACACTACACTGAATTTCACACTTTTCCAGGCTGGCAAAACAAAACATCAACCCTATGTATGTCTCATTTTAGTCTAAAATGCAAGCATCGAATCATGCAGCAGCATCAGCAGCAAAGCCGTGAACGATAATTCAGAGGATGGCGACTTCAGGCGACTTCCTAAAACTGTACTGTGACAAACTACAAGGAAGATTTCTTTTGTTTTTTATATGTGTAAAACACATATAACATTGAGTTATTAATGCTAACACTACTGTTAGCGTTAGCCCAATAGCACACAGACAGAGCTCTGTGTGCTATTAGCTCCAGATGCTCAAAGTTCAATGGTGAGAATTTGATTTATTTTGCACTTGTTTGGTCTCTTTCTACTGACTAACATTCTGCCTCAAACTGGTTCTGAATCTAGTAAAGTTCTGAAGTGTGGTTTGTACTGAAAAACTGACTCGTCCTTTTTTTTGTCACAACTGTTAGTGCTAAAACTAACTCACTGTAGAAAACAAACAACAAAGAGAATTTCGCTGTGGAGACTACCCTTAGTGTTACAGAAGCTCAAACACAGAGGTCAGACGTTTACCTAGAACTGCAGCCGATGTTTCTGAGACAGTTGCCATGGGACCGAGAGGGATGTTTGCTCTTGCATCTCCATCTCAGTTTGTAAGCAGATGATTGGCTGTGGATGGAGGACTGGTGGTGTTGGTGGTTGGCTGACGGAGAAGATCAGCACAGCTCAGAACTCAATCTTGCAGGCAGGGAAAGACTCGTCCTGCATGACCACAGTGCTGCTGGAGGCCAGAACCATGATGTTCAGGTCCTGCTGCTTCTCATGGGTCTGCTGGTACCAGTCCCGGGTCACCTCTGTGTCATGGGTTGGAATTAAAGTCACCTGATGAATGAGAGGAGATACACATTTATTAAAAACATGCAGGGGGCAAGTTGAAAAATAAATATTTTACACACAGCTGGCAAAAATAAATTACCACGATCAGTAATTTGTTAAAATAATTACATATACAGAAAACATTTTTTACTTACTTACTTACCTTTACTTGGACCGAATAGACTGAGAATATAAAATTCAGTAAAATTTATTTTCATTTGATATTAATCTTAATCTAAACTCTTTGATAATATTTAGGTTTTTCCTTGATTAACTGTTTTGTTAAGTAGATGCAGAGCGTCAAACATGTTCTTCAGGAAGCGTAGATTCAGTCTGTTAAACGTGGAGGAGCAGAGACTTGGTTAACCTCAACATGGTGAACGAACAAACCTGTAAGTTTGAGCCCCACTGAGCTTTGCCTTCAAGCAAGGCGTCCAGGACTCCACGGCTGGGCTCCCCACTTCCTGGGTCATTCCCACTCACCACGTAGTATGCAGCCCGCACTCGCTTGAAGAATTCCTGGTCCACATTCTTGGCGCTGCAGTGGTTAGGTACGTAGGCTAGGTCGACGTAGACTGGTGGGCCAGAAGGAACGGCCGAACTTGGTTTTTGAGAGTTGTTAGATTGAGCTTAACCAGGACATAAAGAGATATTAGAACTGATGTTCCCAACAGAACAGCTGTAAATCATATACTGAAATACAAGATGAAATACAACAGATAATTTATGTTTATTTATTGATTTCTTTTTCCAATTATTGCTCATTGGAACGATCTAGGTAAAGTGTGATGATTGAGTTTATCACAAGAAGTTTTAGGGACAGAAATGCATTATTGTGAGATTGGTTTTATATCTGTGGTTTGTTGTGGTTCGAGGGTCTTGCTCACCTGAGTTGGTCTTGACTCCATTGACCAAGGCTTTCCCTGGAGTAAGGATCTCATTCTTGGAGCCCTGACTCTCAGACATCTTCACCAGTCTGGAACTTCTCTCTGTGTCCTTCCTCTTCTGGGAGACTGATCGTGGAGATGCAGAGTCCTTGGCCTGCTTCACTGGTGTGGTGGACCTCTTCCTCCCTTCTCCTTTACGGGCAGGAGAGGCTGACTTGGGTTTTCCCTTCCTGAGGCCCTTTGTTGTCTTTAGCTCTTTCTTGAGAAGCTTCTCTGTGCTGCCGTTGTCGTTGAGGAGAGCCTCTGGATCTACCATGCACACATCTGGGTGCGGAGGGTGAGGCAGAGGGTCCTTCATAGGTGCAGGGGGAGGATCAGGGGTCCTTTGAGCTGGTTGTGGTGATGAGGAGTGATTACCACCTCCAGCTCCACAGGCGGACAGTTTGTCCACCGGGAGGTGTTCGGCATCTTCGTCTGAGTCCAGATTTCCCTCGGCTGTTATGGAGGGACACTCCTCAGTTTCTGGTGGAACATCAGAGTCAGACTGGGATGGCAAAGACTCGCTCACTGATGTCGGAGGCGTTTCCTCTCCAGCCAAAGTCACAGCCAGACCAGTTGACATCGCACCAGGAAGCTGCTGTGACCCCGGTACGGGGTCTTCATGGTGCGTGTGACTGTGGTGGTGCTTCTGCTTGTGGCACCTCCTTTTCACAGAGTGCTGCTCCCGATCATCTTCATCTCCTTCCTGCAGGGGGTCACTGTGGTCGTCCTCCTCGCCCTCATCACTGGACAGCTGATGAGGACTGGGGTTGATGAACGATGGAGAAAGTTCTCCTCTTTGCTGCTTATATTCACAGGAGGAATAGGTTGGAGAGGAGGTGTCACCTGTGTTCAGGTCAGCAGGACGCTCTGGTTTTGCATCTTTTAAAGAGGACGTAGAAGGTCCTGCCCATTGCATCGCCTCCATTTCCTCCTCCTCATCACCGTAACCTGGAGGAGGGACTTCTGGGAAATCGTCAGGCCTCTGTAGCAGCTCCCAGTCTGATAAACTGCTCTTTCTCCTCAGTTCTAATCTCTCTGGCTGTGTCATCATTTTCTCCCCCATCTTTTCTGCTCCTTTCACATCCAGTGATTTTCCACTCACCTCAGGATCAGATGCATTTTTTTTATCTGTGCCTTTTTGACACGTCGTTTCTTCTGCTTTCTTTTCCTCCAGCTTCTGCAGGATTACTGTGTCTTTCTCTGCCGAGTCTTGGGTCTTCTGATCTTTTAAACCGCGTTCGTTTTCTGTCACCTTGGCATCTTGTCTAAAAGACGCCATTCCCAGGGTCATTATTTCTTCTTTTGACTCAGATTTTTGGTCTTTTTTCTCTTTATCTCTTTCTGTTTCAAGCTTGTCTGCTATGGAAAATGGCGTTTCAGTGCTTTCACTGCAACTAGGTGGAGTCACTGAGGCTGTCTGCGGAGTGGTTTGTGACAAGGTGTCAGGTTTGGACGTAACAGTTGTGGACGTGACAGTGACAGTTTTTGTCTCTGCGCCACCTGTGGTACTTTCTACCACACAGGACTGAGTTATTGATGAAATTGTCTCTTTTTGCTCAGTCACTTGGGTTTTTTGGCATTCAATTCGACATGGAAGAGTTCCATCCTCCATTGCTAGTTTATCATGCTCTTCTTCTTCTTCTGTGGATCCCTGCGACCCCCTGTCAGGAGAGTCAGCCCTCTGGAGGGGAGAGAGGTCGAAGTGACTCTCAGTGTGTTTGGACGTGGCTGCTGTAGTAGATGTTGTTACACTCGTTTCTAGCAAATAAAAACTTTCACTGCTTGACTTTGTGTCAGTTTGGGGTTTTGCAGAACAAGTTTGAGTTTCACTTTGTTTACCAGTGGTGGGCAGTGCAGGAGGTGATGGTCTCGTCTCCTCTGTGGTTGCAGGTTTTGTTGCCACCTCCATGTATTCATCTCTGTGGACACCTCCGAAGCAGGAGCTTGTAGATGCTTTTATATACGACGACTCGTCCTTTAGTGGCGCCGGATCAGAGCTCAGTATTTTCGCAGAAGTTCCGTCCTGATCTCCAAACTTGTGGCTTAAGGAGCCTGAGGTGAAGGCTGAGGACGAGTAACTATAGGATGAAGAAGAATATGTTTTGGTTGATTGGCTCGAGTGAGTCATTGTGCTGTATGTAGAAGATTCCTCGTGTTTCGTGATGATACTCGGTGTGATATCTACGCTTTCTTCTCGAGTCTCACGTTGGCTGTAACATTTATAACTGCTAAGATCAGACTCTGGTGACACAGGCGTTTCTTTCTTCAAATGGTCACTGAAAAAAGGCTCAGAATAATCTCCAAATTTGCTTTGTCCAATGTCGGCATAGCTTTTGGTTTGTGGAGGAGAGGAACTGAATGTAGGCATGGACATAAAATGATCGCCCTCCGAAACAGGTTTTTTTGGAGACTGTTTTTCTTCATCTACTTTTTTAGACTCTGGTATCTCAGCCGAGGTTACTTCCTTTGTTGATGATGTCATCGTTTTAGTTGTAGTTTCAGAGGACAAATCCTTCCTGTCTGTTTCTTCTGTTTTCTTTGCATCATAAAGTATTGGTCCACTGGGTGGAAGAACAGATGGTTTATCCACCTTTTCAGCACTGGGGGCAGCAGCTGATTGATCTGCTCTGCTGACGTCTAAACTCAGTGTTTCACTAGGTTTCTCGTGAGCTGTGTCACTACCTTTGTCCTCTTCTTTGAGAGGTTTCGTCTCAGCAGATGTTGTTTTACTCAAGTCCGTCTTAGCTGCCTCTCTAACTTCAGGAGCTTTGCTCACGATGTCCTCTTTGTGAAATAACTGCGATGTGTCTTTTGAGTCATCTGTCTCTGTCATCCTAGCGCCATCATCGGAACTAATTTTGCATATTTCCTTCTCAGACTGCTCTCTGGCGCCCTTCTCCATGTCTACATCACTCAACTCCTCTTCCTCCTCATCTTCTTCCTCCTCTTCTTCATCTTCGTCATCATCATCAACATTGAAATCTTCACCTTCTACAAGTAGCCTTTTATCGATCAGGCTCTCCCTTCCATCTGGAAAGGCTAACATGACTCCAGCAGCGGTGGAGCTGCTGATTTGACTGTTATCAGAGGCAAGGACATTGTCATCTATTTCATGGCTCACAAATGTGGAGCCAGGAACTGTTCTTGAGTCAACTACAGTCTCCATTCTTTGGTCTGGAAAGGTTTGTTGAGGTAAAATATCTTTTTCTGCTGGAGAGTGACGCCCAGATGACACAACCTCTCTTTCATGATCAGAATCTTTAAGAGATTCTGCAAATTTTTCCTTCTCTTTTTCTGACATTTCCTTCTTTGTGGGTTCTTCGGAGGCTGCGGACAAGGCTGAAGCTTGGACTCTGAGGTTTGATTCTTGTTTTTGTGATATGTCAGTTGCCTGAACTGATGTCAAACCACTTTCTTGTGCTGCTGCACCAGGTTG